AGCGAGAAGGCACGTCGGTGTCGCAGCTTCGAGATCCAGAGGTTTGCTCCGTCCACAGCTGCATTGTTGACTGCATATCCGGATGAACAAGTTTCTTTATGTTGCTGAAGTTGGGAATGGTTAAAGTTTCTTTTCTTGCTTGTAATTTTTTTTTCTTTACTTTTAGGAGAAAAACTGGTCACATTTTTGGATATCTTTTCTGAAAATCCATTGTAATTCTTTTTTATTTTCTTTTTTGAATTTTTATTTCTATTAATATTTTATTAGTTATTTTATCAAGACATGTTTGGTTCATGGATTAAAATTATGAGATTAAAATTATTTTTGATTTACATGTATTTTTTATGAGAAAAAATATTATAACGAACTACGAATTATGATTTAAATCAAGATATGAATCCCCCAACTAAACAACCCATAAAATACTCCAGAATATTTAGTCCATGTATTGCACATGAAGTGTTCTGTTAAAGAAGTGACAGAATATGCCAAAAAGGACTTAATTTTCAACATTTTAAGAGTTTAAGGATCATTTTATTAAAATTAACAAAATATTGATCAAATTGTCAACTACTAAACAGCTTAGAAACCATCAGTACCAATTACATTTTCTTCTCATATCTATGTTTTAACGGAGGAACTGAGGCTTTTTTGCAGCTCTTTTGCTAGATACAATTTTGTGAGTTTTGTGAAGTATAAGAAGAATAAGAAAAGGAAATGAAGGAAAATGTCCGTTTGGTTCATGGATTCAAATCATGTGATTTGAACTATTTTCGATTTATGTGTATTTTTTATGAGAGAAAATACTGTAACGAATCACGAATCATAATTTGAATTAAGGAATGAATCTAGGAACTAAACGGACCCTTAATCTATCAGACCTTAATGGATAATTGAGCCTTTTTTAAAACTTAACTTTTTCTATTATTATTATAAAAAAAAGTGAATACATTCTTGGTCAAAATGTAAATACATCATACTTGTCTGTCATGGGTTTTTTCACGGTGGAGGCTGTGCGTGGAGTAGCACTTTTAATGGAACAAATCTAACTAATTATGGAGATAGGGTACCGTTTAGTTTCGCCGCTGATTATTTCGACAGTTCTACCATCAGGGATTCGTGCTTCTATAGGCCTCGTTCGTTTCGCTAATTCGAGTTTAAAATTTAAATTTTGTTACAGTAAAAAACTCTCACAAACAATCACATTTAACTTTTTTACTACCGTAAAAAGCTCTCACATACAATTACATCTCAACTCGAATTCTAAACTCGAATCAGCGAAACGAACGAGGCCATAGTGTTTTGTTCCATGTGGCGGGCTTATGTGGAGGTGGCATTTCTATTTTCTGTCTGTGGCTATGATGTGTGTTTTTCATGTCTTGTAGGTTGACAACGTGTTATCAGCCTCACTGTCTTATTCTTTTGAGTGAAAAATTTATAAAAAAAAAAAACTCGAATTACAATTTTATTTGAATTTATGTTCTTTTAAGTTTGAACTCGAGTTCAAACTCGAGTTTGGAACTAAAACTTGAGTTCAAGTTTCCCCTTCAACTCGAGTTCAGAAACTCAAACTCAAATTAATGAATAGTGTTTTTTCTATTCTTAAAAATGTTATAACTTTTTCGCTTTAATTCTGATTGAGATGATTTTTTTTCCTATGCGTTGACAAAGAAAAGACGAATAAAACCCTACACATATACCCTATTAAAATTTTCCATCAGTATTGAGTTTTTATTAAAATACTATCTAAATACAAATTCAAGTTTTGACTCACTCAAAAAGATTCTTATCTCAAACAATAACTTAAATATACACAAACTCAAGTTATAACTTCAACTCAAATTATAACTCAAATTCAACTCAAGAATTATACTCAAGTTAAACTCCAAAAGAACAAGCCCTTAAAAGTCTTCTGACTTTTCCAATGGTTCTTTCATTGGCCGCTACTCGTTAGAGTCATTTGATGTGGTGTTTGTAGCCTATCTTTTAGTATTGTGTGTTTCTTATTGTAACACTAGTGATTTTTACCGTACTTTATTGGTGTGTCGATATTGTTTTTAAGTGTTTCGTTGTCTGTTATGCTTGTGTCTTGCTGGTGTTCGGTGTGGCCTTTGTGCTATGGACTTCTCAATCTTGATCGATTGGTTTTTTTCATCGATTATAGAGGATTTATCAAAAAGCCATGTAAGTGCATGATTATTGGTGTATCATGTTAAGTGTCTGATTTCAGATCTTGGTACACACTTAGTCCCTTTAAACGTTTAATTCGAACTTACTGGTGGAATAGATTGTCTATAGGGGTAAGAATTTTCTTGCAGTATGTAGTCATATGAGTCAGCATTGATGTTTGCATTCTTCTGATATGGAATATAACATCCCTTTGAAAAAATAACTAATACCTCATCATTGTAATTCATTTATATATTTTCAAGGATACAAAATTTATTTATCAATACTCAAAACACGCTTTAATTTCATTGCATTCTGAAACAAGAATATAACCTAATTATTTGATTACACATAAGTTCATTTGTCCAAAACTAATATTAGCAAACAATCCTAAGCTCCTTGTAAGTCAATCACGAACGTGTCATAAATTTCAATCCTTAAAGACAAGAATAAAAGAACTGATAATAATTTACTAAATCAATCAATAAACTTGCTTTATATTAAACAATCTCTTGTTGCATATGTTGGAAAACATGGCTATTTTAAGTATTTGATTTTGAGTGGGTCCCACTTGGTCATTGTGGAAGATCAAAGTGGAATCGAGTTATCTTCCGTGAGATATTCGAAACGGTATATATATTATATGCTCAAAATGTTGTTTGGATGAATGAGAAATTGATACCCAAAATATAGCTGTTGATAATGGAAAAATTGAAAAAACTTAAAAGGGGAATTTGTTGTCCCATATGGTTTAGGAACTAAAAAGCTTGATAGAGCATATAAGGGTTTGCTCTATTGGGCTTGGGTAAAAACTTGCACCCAATAGGCTCTCTCATGCGCATGGGGTGCAAATCATCAACCTAATTAGTCGGGGGCCCAATGTGTGCACCTCACGAAGTGGGCGGCACGAATGTTGGTCCGTTGGGCTTACCTTTGCGTTAATTCATTAGCTCTAGTGCAATAGTGCATGTTAAATGACGAATGTTGACATGCTTTGGAGCATATTCATCCTAAGATGAATAGTTGTAACTTATCCTTATTATTCTGGGAATAATGCAGATTAATTTTTCAATATTTTTGATTTGTAACTTTTTCTGCAGCAGCCTATAAAAGGAGGTTTTCTTCAATCATTTGAAAACACAACAAAATTCATAAGCTCTTGTGTTCCTGTCTTCTTTGTCTATGTTCTTATAGTGTTTAGATAATCTGGCGATAGAGTGAAGGCATATAGAGTGAAGACATAGTTTAAATTTATTGGAGTAGTTCTTCAAGTGCTTCAAGTTCTACTCGCCGTCGTTATATCCTGAGAGACAGACACTCATAATCTTCTCAAATTTCTGTAGAGAGGGCGAATTTATTTTAAAAAAATGTGAGTTTTACAAGCCTTAATGTCATTTTAATTCCAAATTTTGTTTCGATCTAAGGTTGAATTTTTGGTTGTGACGTTTTATTTTTTCGTTGTAATTTTCTACTACTATTAATAAACCTGTTCATTTCTATTGCTTGCAATATTCTTCTAACAGTATAACTGAGCACAAGACCTTCATCATATATTGGCTTTCAAAATTTAAGGGCTCACGCAGTGCGTGGGTGGAAAAAGAGTTTTTTTTTTTTCTATCGGAGAGCGTTAGTTGAGTAAATTAGTGAAAATCTTCGTTCATTTCACTGATTTGAGTTTACAATTTAAGTTTTATTACAATAACAAACTATCAAAAATAATCACATCTAATTTTTTTGCTATAGTAAAAAGCTCTCATATAATGTCACATCTCAACTCGAATTAAAAACTCAAATCAACGAACTAAATGGGCCCTAAAGCACCACGTTTCACATGTTCTTTAAGTTCAATCTATTGGCATCAATTAAAGTGTTTAGTGGTAAATTTACTTGATCAGAAACGACAAGCTCGTGGACCATTTGTACTGTAGGCTCAAAATATATATTCAAACACTGAACCATATTAAACCATGTAATTCGAATCATTTTCGATTTACGTGTATTTTTGTGAGAGAAAATACTATAGCGAACTACGAATCATGATTCGAATCCCTCTACCAAACATCAACTAAATTGATAATTTTTTTTCTAATTTTATAGCATGACTTGTAATATGATAATTTTGTGCCACATAAATTTATACAAAATAGTTAGAATTAGAATTGTGTCTCTAACGCTACTTATCCGAATTATGGGCACATTTAGTTCACTGATGCGAGTTGAGATGTGACTTTATAAGAGAATTTTTTACTATAGTAAAAAAATTAGATGTGATTGTTTCTGAGAATATTTTACTGTAAGAAAACTCAAATTCTAAACTCGAATCTGTGAAATAAACAAGTCTTAGTATGTATTTTTAAAGAGAGAGCATACAGTTCAATGCAATAAAAAAATAAATGTCACAAACAAAAGCAATCATTAACCCAAATCGCTACCCTATATTTGCATAAACTTCACCTAAACTATGTACTAATGCATTTCCACGGTTGATAAAATTTGGCTCCAGCAGCAGTTCCAACGCGCATGATTTCCATTTTATTTGATTTCGACTCGAACGACATCGTTTAGCAGTCATGCGAATGCTCATCTACAAAACGACACCGTCCATTCCACCAGGCAAAAAGAAAAAGTAAAAGAAAAGGGCTATGCGATCCCGCCACAAATGAATTCACAATCACCAAATTTTTTTTTTCAATCCACTTCGTCCGTCGATTAGATCAGATCCAACGGCGGAAACTCCTCAATCCGCGTCAATCAAATTCCACCAATCACATCTCTGTCCCAACTTCTATATCAATCGATCCCCGCTTCTTCATTTCCCAACATCCCAATCCAAAAAATCAAAATCAAAATCCCCCAAATTTTCCCCGCTATAATAACCCAACTTTGCCCTAAAATGGCGCCGAAAGCCGAGAAGAAGCCGGCGGAGAAATCCCCGGCCGCCGAGAAGAAGCCGCGAGCCGAGAAGAAGCTCCCGAAAGAAGCCTCCGGCGCCGGCGCCGGCGACAAGAAGAGGAAGAAGGCGAAGAAGAATGTGGAGACGTACAAGATCTACATCTACAAGGTGCTGAAGCAGGTCCACCCGGACATCGGGATCTCGAGCAAGGCCATGGGCATCATGAACAGCTTCATCAACGACATCTTCGAGAAGCTCGCCCAGGAAGCTTCTAAACTCGTCAGGTACAACAAGAGGATGACTATGTCCTCTAGGGAGATCCAGACCGCCGTCAGGCTTGTTCTCCCCGGCGAGCTCGCCAAGCACGCTGTCTCCGAGGGGACCAAGGCTGTTACCAAATTCACAAGTTCCTGAAAAAAAAGTGGATTTTAGTTTTTTTTTTTGTGGAAATAATTTTCGGAGTAGATTAGATGTAGTTTTGTACTTTTCGTATTACTTTTGTTGGAATGAAATGCTTGTTTTTTAATGGCAGTGTATTGTTTTTTCTTTTTTGTTGTTGTTGAATTTGCGGTGTATTTTACGATATCGTCGTTCTTCATTTTTTTTTTGTTTTTGGCATTTGGTATTAAGAAAACATTGAGCAGACGAGTGGTATCGTTTTTCCATGGTATACGACACCGAGATAGACATAAATGAGCAAATCGTTTCACATTTTAAACGACAACGTATGTGGGTAGAACGACATGTTCTTTTGTTTGATCTCAATGGCGGCGTATTTTTTCTACCTTAAATCATCACGCTGCATTTGGATATTTTCGGTCAAATTATATTTTAAAAGATATCAAGCAGAGGAATGAAGTCTTCATGTCGTTTCTGATTGCATACGACGACATATGTAAACAGGACGTACAGAACGATAAGTTCTGCTGTCCCAGTGATTAATAGTTAATCCTTACACGATAACGGCGTATTTTATTTGAATATCGTTGTAAAATAAACGACTTAAAAGCATTTTAATGAAGTCGGTTCTCTTAAAATAAAAGATCAACGCCATTTATTTTACAATTCAAATTTTATTATTACAGTTTTTTTTAAATTTAAATATAATTTTTTACTGTTTATTATTATGATAATATTTTTTCTTATAAAAATTTAAATTTAAATTTTTAATTGTTTTTTTCTCTCACATCAAGTCGTAACTTCAATTCAAACAAAGACCGCCTTCAATAGACAGTCTGCGCCTTCCTTAACTTGAGTTTTGGGCCCAAATCCAAAAGCAGTCATAGTGGCCCAAGCCCAAGATTGAGAAGAGCTTGATCCTTGTCACACCAGCTTGGCATTTCACGGCCGCGCTGCGGGGCCAACTGTCGTCTTCTTCTTCTTCGTCCTCCTTCATTATTCATATTCTTTTTCCTTTTTCCCTTTTCCCTTTTCTCTTTCCTTTGGCCTTTTTGTACGTAGTTTCTCCTTCGTCGCGTTTCTCGTCTATCTGGTTCTTCCATGGCGTCGTCAAGCTCAGGAATTTCAATTCCCGCTCCAGGTACGGAATCACCTTCCAAATGATGTTGTTGATCATCTCAATCTCAATATCGCTTCCAGTTTTCTTCCACCGCCATTTGATCTCTGAATTGTTCGTTCGTGTTCGAATTCGCTGTTCTCAGAGGCCGTACAGGTTCTGGTTTCTTCTCTTGCCGATGAATCTCCCATGGTCAGAGAGGCCTCCATGGCTTCTCTCGAGGAAATCGCCGCTCTGTACTCTCTCTCTCTATATATATATTTTCATATACATTATAATTACGCATGATTACAGTGAATTCTGAAGTTTTGGAATTAATTAATGGAGTTTTTTCGATTCTAGGAATCCGCTTCTGGTTCTTGACTGTTGCTCGGCGGTTTCACGAGGAGGACGTCGGGTGATTTTCTGGTCTATGGAATTTGGGTTCAGTTTTAGCATAATTTCCCGTTCTTCTCTTGTCGTTGATTGTTTTTTCTTTTTTCCCTCCATTTTTGATTTTTTTAGCGCTTTGGGAACATGGCTGGTGTTTTTCAAGTAATGGCATTTGGAGTTCGGGCGTTGGACAAGAAGGATCTTGATCCTTCTTTCATGGCTAAGCTTGCTAAGATTGCCACGGCCGAGATGATTTCCTCCAAGGTAAAGCCGAAAGGGAATGAATTCTGGATTTGATTATCAGTTGATTGATTTATTTGTACTTGTAGGAGTATTCTTTTTGAAGCTATGTTGGCAGTTCATTACTTTGTTAGCTCTTGTTTGATTTGAATTCTGTGATGGTGTAATTAGAGTCAAAAGTAGTCTATACTTAACTAGTTGCTTGTTGGCATTTGGGTACGTAGACGTTTGGTTCATGGATTCAGAATTATTTTCGGTTTACGTGTGTTTTTTGTGAGAAAAAATACTGTATAATTTGAATCATGATACGAATCCACCAACCAAACGCAGTAATAATGTGTAGTGAAAAATTCATGAAACTGTTCTCGTGATTCATTGAAATGTTATTTTAGGAACTAAGCACTGACTGGCAAAGAGCTGCATCTTGGTTGCTGGTTTCAATAGGCTCACATTTTGCTGACCTAGTAAGTATCCTGCTGACACATGAGTCATGACCTGTATGCTATCGTAAGAGGGGTAATTTCTAAAGTTGCTTACTTTGATCATGTTTTGGGATTTTGGTTTTGAAGGGAATGGCAGATTGACTCAAATAAGTTTTTTGCTTATCCATCAATCTGTTGTCATTTAGTCTTCTATTGAGTGAATAACTTTCTTTGTATTGATTTAGTGACTGTTTATCTTATTTTGGCAGATGATGGAAGAAATATTCCTTCATTTCCCAGGGCCAAGTTCCGGCTTACCTGCTATGGTTCAAACACTTGCGGACTTTGCTTTTGCTGATGGTTAATAATCAAACTTCCTTTATGCTTAGTACTAATTGATTTACATGAAGTTTGGTTAATGCTTTCTGTCTGCTTAGACTAAAATGTTATTGTTGTATCTTTTGTACTGTGTTAAAGCATTGCAGTTCACACCACGAGTGAAGAGTGTACTTTCACGAGTTTTGCCGATACTTGGAAATGTCCGTGACATCCATAGGCCAATTTTTGCTAATGGTGTGTGGTGAACTTTCCTTGACCTTATTGATGAAGCATGATTTTATATGCTGGGCTATTATAATATTTTGTTTCCTTTTCTTGGTGGTTTTCTTGTTATATTTGAATCCCTCTGTTTTGGCATATAATAAAAACTGGAGTCAACAGTCTTTAATCCATTTTGGGGAGGTGTGGCCATATTCATTACATGTTTTCAACCTGTCAGATTATATGGAAAAAAAAAATATAGAGAGGGAATAAGATATTGTACGCATTTCATTTGCTTAGTCCCTTTTCTCTGAGGAGAATTACTTAAAACTTTTTGTACTTCTATTTTCTTTCAGCATTTAAGTGTTGGTGTCAAGCTGTTTTGCAATATAACATGGACTTCCCTTCACACTCGCCTCTTGATGGAGACATCATGTGAGATCAAGAAGTTCTTGGTGTTAATTTTCCACCTTGTTTTTTCCCCGCCTAGTTACTTTATTGAGGCCTTTCTTTGTATATAATCTTAAAGATATCCTGTTTAACTTGTTATCAATTACTTAGTGCAGGTCATTTTTGAATTCCGCATTTGAACTTCTATTGAGAGTTTGGGCATCTTCACGGGACCTAAAGGTTTACGAATATTCTTTCCCTTTCCTTTTGTCAAATTCTCTCTCTCTCTTTCTCGCTCTCTAAGGCTTCGTTTGGAAGCTGTATCCTGACTCAAGATTCTGGGTCACGTGGGAGAATCCACGTTTGGTGGCCCAAAATCTATGGTCTGACCCAGAATCAAAAGAGAGGCTTTTGAGATCACTTGGATCCGGATTCCAAAATCAGGGGGGGCTAAATATATATATGTATGTATGTATATATATATATATATTGTGTTTCTTCCCTTTGTATTATTAGTTATTGTCATTTGAACTGCAACCAAGGAAAGTGTGTTGTTTCCTTTTTCTTTGAAAACTAGCTTGCCGCCACATTCTTTGTTTTTTGTTTTAGTGTTAGCTTTATTTTTTAGTTTTTTTTAATATATATATATATATATTTTAACTGCAACTGCGTACTCAGGAAACTATTTTATTCTTTTCTTCACAAACTAGCATGCAGCACATTTTTTAGTGTTACGTCTTTTCATTGTAAATTGACCTTACCATATTAAACAATGCATGCATCACCTTTTTAGTGTTATGTCTTTTCGTTATAAATTGACCTTACCATTAAACAATATATTTCTGGCTTTAAACTGAGGCAATATTGTGTCAGAAAATTGTGCACTTGCTATTTTAAAAGTTTGTTTGCACCTTTTTTTGTTGTTGTTGAATTTCATAATCATTTCCTGCTTTATATGGTTGTTATTAAGTGATTAACTCTCTCTTCACCGTAGGTTAGAATATCATCTGTTGAAGCACTAGGTCAAATGGTTGGTCTGATCACTAGGACACAATTGAAGGCAGCTTTACCCAGACTTGTTCCTACAATATTGGAATTGTAAGGATTTCTAATTCAATGCCTCCATATATTCATGATGTCGTACTGTTAGTGTGTCTCTTTCTATTAAAACATGACTATATTGTTTTTGTTGTAGTTGGTTCCGTTAGTGCATGTTCTTATTTCTTCTTTGTTTTTTGTTGATGCTTGTATTCTCACATTTTGAGAATACAAGTATCAACAAAACAAGTATTCTCACGTTTTGAATAGCGTAGGTACATCCTTTGAACATATGTATGCAGAAAGACAAATAGTTTACGGCATGGTTTTCTTTTTTTGTTTTCAGGTATAAAAAAGACCAAGATATTGCCTTCGTGGCAACATGTAGTCTCCACAACCTGTTAAATGCTACTTTACTGTCAGAAAGTGGTCCTCCTTTACTTGATTTTGAGGTGATGCATTCTGTATTTTGCTTGTTTTGCGAAGCATATAGTTAGTTTCTTGTTTTGAGCTTTTACTTAAGCTATTATCCATTTTCTACTGTTTTTCTTGGAAACAAATATCATTTTCAGTGAAGGGAAAAAGCAAAAAGAGACTTGAAAACAACTTTCATTAAGAAATTCAACGTATTTTTTTTTAAAGGAAATACCTTGGTGCTTCAATGGCAAAGTTCGACGCACTGGGACAAAATTAATGAAGCTCTACTTTTTCTTAATTCTTTTTTGGGATAACTTGCAACTATGAAGCTCAGTGAATTTGTGCATTTTTTCTAATGGTGTGCGCTGTGCAGGAGCTTACAGTTATATCATCGACACTCCTTCCAGTGGTTTGCATCAATATTGACAGCAAAGAGAATTCTAATTATTCAGTTGGGCTGAAGGTGTGATTTATTTATTGCATTTTTTTTTCCTTGTGCAATCTTTGACATGTTCTCTTGCTAGTTGGGTCTCGTTTGCTTCTTGCTTTAACTTGCTTAAATTAAGAAGCTTTTGATATTATTTTGTTTATATGGATTTCCAGCTATTTATTTTCTGGCTTTTGCTCATGTCCAGAATCTTTTTGCTCTTCATATTGTTTTCATCGATTCGACAGTTGGAAATATCCTATGAAGATATATGCCACTCTGTATGGTAGTTTTTTTGTTTGATACCCATGGCTGATTTTGGGAAAAGTTTTCCGTTATGTGTGCCAATATTTATATAGTCACAACAAACTTCTTTGATACTTGGCACTTGCTCGATTTTATTGTTTAGTTTTTGACTTTTGTCATTGTGCAGACATATAATGAAGTTCAGCATTGTTTTCTGACAGTTGGCTTGGTATACCCTGAGGACTTATTCATGTTTCTTCTGAATGTGAGTACTGTGTGATCAAGTATGCCTATGCGAAAGCATTATCTCTCAGAATGCTTGTACTACTCCTTATGGGGCATTGACCTCATTTCTACTCTGACAAACTCAAAATTTGAAAATGTCTTTTTCTTTTTGTATTTCTGCAACTAAGAAATGCCGGTTGAAAGAAGAGCCTTTGACGTTTGGTGCATTATGTGTTTTAAAGCATCTGTTACCCAGGTTCCTTCCTTTTTTGTGACTTTTGAAAATGTTATTATGATTCTCTTACATGGCCTGACTTTCTTCTGATTTCATTTGGAGGTTGTCTGAAGCTTGGCACAATAAAAGGCCTTTACTTGTTGAAGCTGTAAAGTTATTGCTAGATGAGCAAAATTTAGGGGTCCGAAAAGCACTCTCAGAGGTATTGATATTAGCTGATAGTTGTACGGTTGTCCAGTATACTATCATCAGAGAGGAACTCAAACTTGAGATTTTGTTGCTCCGGTGCAGTTGATTGTTGTTATGGCTTCGCATTGTTACTTGGTCGGTCCATCTGGTGAATCGTTTGTAGAATACCTAGTGCGGCATTGTGCTTTAACTGATCAAGATGGAAGTGATCTTCAGAGTTTAAAGGAAGTCTCTACATCAAGCAAAGCCCACAAGAGATTAGAGGTTCCTATTTGAGTTACATATATGAAATTTGTTAATTTGATTGTCAACCTTACATAATTGAGATAAAGATAGTTTAGCCCTTGTTTGTCAAAAGGTTTGGACCACAATTCAAACCTTTTTCGCATCAATGCTTTCTCTCACAAAAAAATTGAATTTCTGTTCAAACTTATGTTTAAACCAAGGAACCAAATGGGACAACAGTTTAGGGATCTAAAATTTGTGGTGATATTCAAGAACCAAAAAGATTTTTAGTTGTAATATTGTTCCCTGAAGACCTTTTATTGAATATATTTCACGGTAAATAAAATTTTAGATGAGATGCCATATATAGCTTACTGTAATTGTTCCACGTATAAATATTATGGTCTATGTATTTAATACAAGATTGTTTTTGTCAGGTGAAAACTGGGGCAATTTGTGTAACAGAGTTGAGAGCAATCTGTGAAAAAGGTCTTCTTCTGCTCACTATTACTATTCCTGAAATGGAGGTATACTAGATTTTTGATTCAACCTCATTTAAAGAGTTTGTTTCATTTTTTTTGTTTTTGTTTTTCAACGTTCTCATAGATGGAAGTCAAATGTAAAGCAAAGTTTGATGATTTCTTGATCTGCAGCATATTCTTTGGCCTTTTCTGTTGAAGATGATTATTCCACGAGTTTATACTGGGGCTGTTGCAACGGTAGGTTTTACTTTTATTTATTTATTTTTTAAGAAGAAACAAATATTGATACTAAAGAGGGCACGAGGTCCTCAAAGGCTCAAACGATACATCAAGGGAAATAAAATACTAATAAAAAACCAGAGCATAACACTAAAACCAAAGAAACAGCCCACTAACAAACCATAACATCCTTCCAGTTTAGAATAATCAAAAGGAGGGAAAATCCTGAAATGCTTATCTATAGAGGCCCTAAATGAAGCTAAATATTTGGCTTTCTCAAAGAGATCCATAATTCTGTCTTCAAAAAATTCTCGCTTTCCTTTTCAACCAGATTATCTACAATAAGGAAATCACAATTCTCTTCCACATGGCCCTAGACATTTTGTTGGATCCATAACCACTCGTCTTCTACTTCCTGTCCCTTTTCTGCTAGAAATTACTTTCTTTCCTTGTGTTTTTACTGGTCCCTCTTCACAAACAGGCTTTTACTATGCATCTTTCATAATCTTATCCTTTTGTGCGGGTGAATATTCTAGTAACTAGACTTCTACTCATTTTTTTAATTATATATGCTTTTATTTGAAAGCAATGCTGTTGTACTTCTCGTGATTACAGGTCTGCAGATGCATTTCAGAGTTGTGCAGGCATCGATCTTTTAATAGTAGTGCCATGCTTAATGAGTGTAAAGCCCGTGCTGATTTACCAAATCCCGAGGTAAAATTTTTGCTGGTGTTAATCATATAAATATATCATTTCATAGTGTCTGAATCGAAAAATGTCCCAACTATTTATTTGGCGTGCTTTATTTTGTAATTAGGAGCTTTTTGCTCGCTTGGTGGTGCTTTTGCATGACCCTCTGGCGAAAGATCAGCTGGCAACTCAGATTCTGACAGTGAGACTTGTCCTTGCTTTGTTTAGTTTACTACTTTTATGCATTCATTAATGGTTGTATTTAGCTAAGGTTTCTCCTAGAAGACCTGTATTATCTTTATAATGAAGTATTACATACTGTTATGTTCTGATCCCCTCCATTGGAATGAATTTTATTTCTCCATGACAATATCTGCTTTACTTGTATTCTGTGCAGGTCCTTTGTTACCTGGCACCACTTTTTCCAAAAAATATCAACTTGTTTTGGCAAGATGAGGTATATTTTCGTCAATATTGAGTTGTAATTAGAAGGATCATGTCTGGATTTATGTTTTGTGATGCATTTGAACCTTTTTGATTGTTGGTGAGTCACCTAATGAAACTTCCAGATAAAAAAGTATTTAATACAAAAAATACTAGAGATATATGCAGCTCAGTTCTAAAGAATATTATACGAGTTTTTGTTGGGGTCTTGGGGAGAGTGGATTCTATGAGTTTTTAGTGTTTATGTGCTTGTCTATGTGTTTGCTGGGTGGCAGTCTTTTTGTGGAGAATTTGTCATCCTTTAAACTTTAATGCCATTATTTTGATTTCTTTATGTAATGTTTTTATTTACTACCAGTGCGCTTGGGTTTTCTGAGTGGCATTTTAGTAAAACAATTATATGGTTAAGCATATCTTTATTGTCAGCAATTGGGCGGCTGGTGCAGCAGGGAAAGTTATAGTTGAGTATCGGTGATGTGGCATCTACCTAATTATAAGGGGATTTTTGCAAACTTAGGAAGCCTGAGGGGTGTCACTGTCATTTATCATCTGTTACACAACCTTTTGTGTATGTAGGAGGTTCTATTATAGTTTTAATCAAGAGACACCATGCGCCCGTCCAATGTTTTCTTTCAGTGCATCTTCTTTCACTCTTTTGTAGTGGTTACATGTAACAAAAGATAATTATCTTATTCCTTGTTTTCTTTGGTAAGCTCTAGATTCCAAAAATGAAGGCGTATATTAGTGACACTGAAGATCTAAAGCAGGATCCTTCGTATCAAGAGACGTGGGATGACATGATAGTAAATGTGGGTATTAGCCTCTATATTAATCTGCTTTTATCTTTTCATCTCCTCCTCAGTAGTCTAATTACGTGGTTAAATATTTTCTAAATGAAGCATCACATTTGACAAAGTTTTCACTTTTCACCAAGTGGTCTTAATGTTTCTAATTTTTTTGTAGCTTTCCTTTTTGGAACCTGGAATGTTGATTGACAGCTTGTCTGTTTAGAGTTTTTCAAGTTGATGCACTAATTCAGATAGGACAAAACGCTGTGTAAAAACTAAGTGCCTCCGGAGCAACAAGAATCATTAATATTCTTTTTTTGATTTTGCGTCCAGTTTCTTGCAGAATCTTTGGATGTGATTCAAGATGCTGTCTGGGTGATATCCCTTGGGAATGCTTTTACCAAACAATATGAGCTTTATACATCTGATGATGAACATTCAGCACTTCTCCACCGGTATGTAATGATCTGAAATCAATGTTTTATATTATACTTGTGGAGATGCATAATTTTTTCACTTTCCACCAGTATTTATCTGTTCACACACACCTCCATTTTGTTCTTCGAAAGGAGGTTTTTTTTTAGAATAAATTGCAAGTTTCTCCTAGGCTTTGAGCCTAGGATCTATCCCTTAAACCTGCTCCGTCCTTGTCAACAAGGCTAGCACCAGTTGGCAAAGGAGATTTTTTGTCATAATGAATAGCCATCTACTACCATTGTTTATCTTCTTAGAAGTTTTGGTTCTTGTTAGCCCGTGTGAATTATAATCTTTTCTCTTGCAGGTGCTTTGGCATGCTACTCCAAAAAGTTAATGACAGGGCTTATGTCTGCAGTAAAATCGATTGGATGTATAAACAAGCTAATATCAGCATTCCTACAAACAGGCTTGGTTTGGCAAAAGCCATGGGATTGGTAGCTAGATGCTGTAGTTTGTTGAATGTGTTTGTGTGTATATATATATGTTTTCATATTGTATCTGTGACATTGTTTTCCGCTGCCTCCAGGTTGCAGCATCCCACTTGGACACTGTCTTGGACAAGCTGAAAGACATTCTGGATAATGTTGGGCAAAGTATCTTCCAGAGGTTTATGCTAGTCCTTTTGGAGATTTCCTTTTCTTTTTGTTCTTTTGCTCCCTCTTTATCCCCACCAGAACAAGAACCTGGCTTGCTTTTCATGTTCTTGGTATTTTTTTTTTTGGCATTGCTAAAAGCTTTGTTAGGCATTCTACGCTGTTTAGATGCTGCTCAAACACTTGTATAGTTTCTGAAGAAATTCTTGCATTCTCAATACGATCTGAAAGAGAAAGTATTATTCTCTAAATTTAAACAAATCATGCCGGAAGATAGAAAGAAGCTCATTGCATCCTCGATTTGCTTTACCCCTCAATCATGGTTTCAGACAGAGAGAGATTTAAGATGCTAGTGTGGAAATTTGATTCAGATAGTTGTATAATTACGTCAAACCTTTTCCAGAACAGGCACTCTTTTTATGTCTTCGTATATTAATATCTTATTCTAAATCATAAGATGAACTTATGGTATTTGGTGAAGTTTACGTGTAGTGCTGGAATTTAAAAGTACTTCTCACGGTTCAGGGTGAAGTTGGATTATATGAGTGTATGTATTTGGTCTAAAAATATGTATGTACGTCTATTGCAGATTCTTGTCCCTTTTCTCTGATAGTTTTAAAAGGGAAGAGTCTGACGATATACATGCTGCTTTGGCTCTCATGTACGGTTATGCTGCTAAATATGCTCCATCAACAGTTATAGAAGGCAGAATAGATGCGCTTGTTGTATGACATCTTGTCCTTTCTTTTTCTTACTGTCTATTGACATATAGATTTAGGAATCAAACTTTTGGTTCAAGATAGAGATATGTTCAGTTGAAGATACTAATAAGATGTCTTGGAGACTAGGGTACAGAATCTGATAACTTGATAATTTATTCCTCTTTTAGGGGACTAATATGGTTTCGCAACTTCTTCATGTGCGTCATCCTACAGCAAAGCAGGCAGTTATCACTGCTATCGATTTGTTAGGTATGTAAAAGCTATTGAGGTAGATTCTTTACTTGAAGTATAACCACATCCAAATGTACTTGAAGTAGATTCTTTACTCTTGTTTGTGTATTTCAGTCTTTGTGTATGAGTTGAATAAGTTCCACTTTATAAACTCACCAAGAATGTACATAAGTCAATGGCGTTAAAAATATTGATGTTGCTAGAAAAGCATCTACTTGAGTATAGAGAAAGTGCAGTCTGTGCCAAGAAAATCGGGGATATTCAAACGAAAACTTAGTTGCTGTATGTTTTACAGAGCCAGTATTGGTTTGAACTATCGTGCCAAAGTCATGAGAAGTATTAGATCTTTCTTTCATGAGAAGTTACAGGAACAAGTGTAGAATGGTTTGGGGAGTTAACATAGATGTTTAAAGGAGTTAAAGGATCCACTCCTCTTGGAGGTGATAGAAGTAGCCCGAGAATTTTTGAAGAGGGATATCAAAAGAAAATAGCAGCCTTCACTGATCAATAGATTGTCTTTAAAATAGCAACTGGGTTACTAAGCCTTATAATTCAGCTTGTATATGATCCTTACAATAAATCTGCAGGCCCTCTTAACAAGTGCCCCTCAGATATTGCCATATTTTTAATGGTTACCTACCATTGGAAAAAAAAAAGTGTACTGTTATTCCATCAACTTCCTTTCTTTTGCATTAAAACTATACTGATAGCGTGCTTGTGCATTTGAACTCATGCTTAACCGGTGAGCTGAGATAACTTTCACGAAATCCTAGTTTCTACTATTTTCATGCATTACAAAAACTACAATCTCAACTGTGCAGGTCGTGCTGTCATTAATGCTGCAGAAAATGGTGCATCTTTTCCATTGAAAAGAAGAGATATAATGCTTGATTACATATTAACTTTGATGGGCCGTGATGATAACAATGAGGGTTTTGCTGATTCTACTCTTGAACTTCTGCATACTCAGGTTTCTTAATTGCTAGCGTCTTTTAGGTTAATTATACATTTTATTGTGAGTTTCTAGTGGAACTATTCTGTACTCTCTCTCATCTTTACACAAAATGTTGCAGGCTCTCGCCTTAAGTGCCTGTACGACATTGGTCTCTGTTGAGCCAAAGTTAACAATTGAAACCAGAAATCATGTACTGAAGGTATATATATTTTTTATTCATCTCATATTTACTGGAGTCTAGTTTATTTCTTTCATCTGCAGCATCTGAATTTTCTGACAAATGACAGGCTACCTTGGGGTTCTTTGCCTTACCAAATGATCCAGCGGATGTCGTGAATCCCCTCATAGACAACCTTGTCATGCTATTATGTGCTATTCTTCTCACAAGGTACTAAAACTGTACAGGTTCATACTTTTATGGTGGAACTTGTCATGCATATCTAATTGTTTCTGCAGTGGGTTCTGATCTATGGAACAATTCGATTTCTGTGCTTACTTGGTTAATTTAGGCTATTTTAACCATTTCTGAAGAAGGTTCTTTCCCTTTTCTTTTGGTATAAAAATGAAAATGATAAGCCTCCTATTCGGTTTTGGTTGATAGTTTCTTGTGATACACGTGTTATTTTAGAAATCGTAAGTACTTGTCTAATTACTATTATTATTCTATTTTAGTGGAGAGGATGGGAGAAGTCGAGCAGAACAGCTATTGCATATTTTGAGACAAATTGATCTATACGTGTCTTCGCCCGTGGATTATCAAAGAAGAAGAGGTTGTCTTGCAGTAAATGAGATGCTTCTCAAGTTTCGAATGGTTTGCATTAGTGGATATTGTGCCTTGGGCTGCCAAGGAAGTTGTACACATAGCAAGCAAATTGATCGCACCCTGCATGGGAACTTTTCCAACTTACCATGTAAAGTTGCCTCCTCGTTTGCTAAGTTGCCATGTAGTTTACTTTAGTTTCTCCCCAACCCGACCAAAACTTATTTTCTGTTTTTGAATTGTTTTACATGGTTTTCTATTCACTTTGTTCAAAATTCCAGCTGCATATGTATTGCCAAGTCGAGGGGCCTTGTGCTTGGGGGACAGGGTAATTATGTATCTTCCACGATGTGCAGACACAAATTCTGATGTTAGAAAAATTTCTGCTCAGGTGACAAAAAGCCAAATCTTCTTTTAGTTGTCTTACATAAAATGCTCGTTATTTTGAATGTATCCCCTTAAATATATTTTGAATGTATCCCCTTAAATAATTCCAAATAGATTTTTTTTTTTCAATCTCTGTCATTTTTCTTATTTCCCCTAAAAATGTCATTAATTTTTTATTTGTGCATAGATTCTCGATCAACTCTTCAGCGTCTCACTTTCACTTCCAAGACCAGCGGCTTCTAGTTTTGGCACAGATATAGAATTGGCCTACAGAGCTTTGTCTTCCTTGGAGGATGTAATAGCTATCTTGAGGAGTGTAAGGACACACACACATATATATATATATATATATATTTTTTTTTTTTTTTTTTTCATTCACTTTCCCCTTTGATATAAAATATATTCATGTTTAAACCCTTGAAAGGTGGTCGTTAATATAGAGCTATTGTTGATCTCCCACATATTCAGGATGCTTCAATAGATCCATCTGAGGTTTTCAACAGAATTGTCTCCTCTGTCTGTATTTTATTGACCAAGGATGAGGTATGTATCTTGTCAGGCAATACAATTTAAAAATTAAAGTAACAACATAACAAAATTTCTCTTCTTGATTACTTGCAGCTTGTAGCTACCCTGCAAGGTTGCTCTGCAGCTATCTGTGATAAAATTAAGCAATCGGCTGAAGGGGCCATTCAGGCTGTGATAGAGTTTGTCACGAAGAGGGGGAATGAGCTGACTGAAACGGATGTGTCAAGGTTTACTCTGAAATGGAATTATGAAGAACTAAAAGTTCATGAGAAAAACAAATTGGATTATATTTTTTTGTATTCTGATAAAATTTAGGTATATTTGGTCCTTAGAAATTCTATTGGTATACATATGCCTACAGGTCAGCCCAGGCTTTGCTGTCTGCAACAATTCATGTAACTGACAAGCATTTACGTTTGGAAACCCTTGGTGCCGTATCCTTTATTTCCCCCCTTAAATTTCCTTTTCTTTGTTCTTTGTTTCTCCTTTTTCCTCGTATTTACATTTGTTAACATATTTGCTACTAAAGTTCTGGCTATTGTCTTCTCGTACTTTCAAGAGTTTGAACTTCCTGTAGCCTGTTTATGTCACTGTTAGTTTCCTTATGGTTGACTTGTTCGAGACAATTCGTGTTTTTTACTTTTCTTTCTTCTTCCCGGGGGGGCGGGGCGGGTTGGGAGTGAGGGATTTGGATCTCTGTTCTTGTTACCTTAACGACCTGAAGATATCTTCTCTAGCCGAAAACACTAGCACAAAAGTTGTCTTCAATGAAGTTTTGGCTCTGGCTGGTAGGGATATAATTATGAAGGATATATCCCGATTGCGGGGTGGCTGGCCAATGCAGGATGCATTTTATGTGAGTTATATTGGCTTTTCAGTTAGAACAGTGCACCATATGCATTGTTATCTTTCGTAATTTCCTCTAACCATGGGGTTTCTGATTTCAGTGCAACTCATTCCAATCGAGCAATACATTGCATCATGCTTAACCACATCAAATGGATTTTTAGAAATGGAACTGAATGCGTAATTTTTTATTTCTTTATATGTTGTGGTGTCTTGTAGGCATTTTCTCAGCATACAGTGCTTTCTTTTGTGTTCCTGGAGCATGTGATCTGCGTTCTTAAGCAGACGCCAGTCCCTAAAGGTGATTCGGAGAAAGCAGAGAATTCTAGCGAATCTGTTGATGGTCAAATAGATAGTAATATCCTGCAAGCTGCTATGATTGCTCTCACTGCCTTTTTCAGGTAATTATGATTAGCTGTTTTGTCATGCTTAAGCTACGGGATATAGTTCTTCTTAGCATGTTTCAACATCATTGCAGAGGAGGTGGTAAAGTGGGAAAGAAAGCTGTTGAACAAAACTATGCTTCCGTTCTTGCTGAACTTACTCTGCAATTAGGAAGCTGTCATATTTTAGCCAGTTCTGGGCAGCAAGACCCATTACGGTAAACGCTTGGAAAATGTTCTTATTGTCTTGATAAGCACATTCTCACAGAATATTTTATCAATAAGTTGATGGATTTTCAATTTTGTTCCTTCTTCTTTGCTTCTGCAGGGCTCTTTTAACTGCATTTCAGGCATTTTGTGACTGTGTCGGAGATCTTGAGATGGGAAAGGTAGTAGATGAACATGCATAATACAATTTCTGTGATAGACTCGTCTCCACATATTCTAGTGAATTGAAGAATATTGATTTTGATTTATTTGTGTAGATTTTGACTAGAGACGGAGAGCAAAATGAAAATGAGAGGTGGATCAATCTTCTTGGGGATTTAGCTGGCTGCATCTCTATAAAGAGACCAAAAGAGGTAATATGATCATCTTCCGAGGCTAATTTTCTTAAATCTGGGGGGGGGG